TATATTATATATATATAAAACTGAATCACTTTGCTGTACACCTGAAACTTTATAAATCAACTATACTTCAATAAAATAAATGAATAAAATAATCAAAGAAAAATGAAAATAAAATAAATAAAATTGCTCATGTCAATGTCACCACACTACCATCTTGTAGTCAAATGCTAACTTCACTCCCCTCATCTTATTAACCTCTCAGAAGTATTCACACTGTTAACTAGTTCCCCATTCTTTTCTGTGCCACAACACTTTTCAAGTTTTTTATCTCCTTCTCAGTCTAATTAAGGAGGCCTATAGCACTGTGATTAAGAGCATGGACTTCTAGACTTAGCTCTGAACACAGGTTGTTTCAGGAGTGCTTACGGCATGGAGGACAGACATAGCAAGAGAATGTTCCCCTTTCTTGAGCAAGATAGAAAACGAATCAGTATTTCAGGTGAGAAATATGGTGGTTTAGACTAGAGACTGGAGATGGAGGGAAATAGATTTTAGCTCTATTTTAGTAGTAGAACCAATAGAACTTTGCAATAGAACAGATACAGGAATTAAAGGAAAAGGGGAAATCAAGGTTTTGCAATAGAATAAAAAGCTAATGAACATTACCTAAAAAAATCACCAAATCTTGGAGATGATCTCATTTGATGCTTTTCCACTGAAACTGATACCTGGGAGAGGTTATGTGATTTACCCAGTCACATAGATAATTGGTGATAGAACTGACACAAGTCTCTCAGAATCCTAAGAAGCCACAGATCAGGATCTGGAAAGATGACTACTACAAGCTTGCTGAGCTATTACTTTAGTCCTTTTTCCCCCTAACCAATGCAATAAAAAATACTAAAATACATTTTTGGGTTTATTGAATATAGTTAGGCAAGCTATTAACTGCACACTTTATACTGCCTTAAGAAAAAAGGGAAGGAAGTAGACAGTATATAAATATCAGTATTAGCTCATGAAGAGTAAAATCTATACTAAAAGTTCATCAAAAACATTTGCTGAAGTATACTATTTGTAAAAGGCAAGGTACACATGAACTCCCCCTCAAGCAGTTACATTCTAATTTGCAAGATAACACACATATAAATAATTCAGGCCAATAAGGCAGTACTAGATTAATTGCCAAATTAATTATATAGACAATATATATATTTTTAAGTACTCTGTGGTAGTCCTTTAGGAAAAGTAAGGCTTGAGCTAAGCCCTGATGGACAAGTAAGAATTTAAAAAGTAGATAGGGAAGGGGATTAAACAAACCTATAAAGAGTGTCCACTAGGGTTCTAGGCTCAGGGCTGGGGGATAGGGAGTGGGAAGAGTGAGCTTTTTATACATGTCTGTGGAGACATTCTCTTTGGTATGACATTTTAGCTGAGTCCTGAATGACAAAGAGGAACAAGGAATGTGCTGATGGGAGAAGAGAACATTCTGAGAAAACAAGTACAAATAACCGCTACATTACCTACCTTTATTAGGCTCTATAGATTGAATACACAGAGCTTAGCTGAAAGGTAAAAGAGTGGACCATACGTTCCTAAACCTGAGTTTAAATAATTCCACAAATTCTCTTTCTCATTTGTTTCTCCAACGGTAAAAATTACTGCATAGACGAGCATGCGATATAATGGACATAGAAGTGTTTTTAGAAATAGAAAAGTAAATATACCAAAATTGTAAAGTCAGTTCAAAAAAGACAAGAATGAAAAAGTGTTAATATGGTGCTTAGATACATAAAGTTAAAAGTGGACAAATGACTTAAAATCATTGCTGGTATGGGTAACAGTACCTTATACTTTACATATCTTTACATTTTCTCTTACTGTAGCTTTTTGTACATGTCTTATCTTCTTTGCCAGATTGTAGGCAGATATAGCACCTGACACATAGTATTATAGCTAAACTGATGTATGAAGCCAGTACTTCATTTTACATCCCTTTGAGGATTTGTGTTTGTGTATGTTCAAGATCCCATTTACTTGCAAATGATTGGAGGGGAATGATGATATCACGAAAAGTTAACAGAAACAAATATAGATGAAAACAGAACAAAACCTATCTTAAAGAGGATGGAAATAAGCCGCAGGTAACTGTTAATTACTACTGCTGGCTTTTAGTTAACATTCCCTGGCAGCCAAAGGAAGAAGGGAATCGGCTGAATCCCAATGACGCATTTAATCTACCACAAAGTTAGGCATTTAAATTCATCTACAGAGATCAACTTTTCCCTGGACCAAAACCGCAAGGATCTTTGATCACAACCAAATAACTGAGCAAAGGCACAGAGTTAATTATGAAGGGCTCCTGAAATTATGCAACTTGGTTCTGTTGCTTTCAGAACAAAGACCTCTGATAACAATGGGACGACCGGTGCCTCAACAACAGAATCCTCAGTTTTCTCCCTAGGGCTCTGGCCCAGGCTTGGCAGCCACAAAAGCCGCACCTGGGTCACTTTATGGCCTCAACACAGTTAGCTGCTTGGTAGCAGCCTTGGATTCAGGCAGGGTCCGCGCCCTGCACTGGAGGCAATGCAGTCTTTGCCCCAGCCTTAGAAGGCAGGTTTCAGGGAGGGATGCTAGGGTTGGAGTGTCTAGATGAGTTTCGGCCTAAGGGGACAGGGGAGGAAGGCAACTCAGGGCCGCGGGAAACACAACTCTTGGGGGCACCATGCAGTCCCCTTACTGCCACAGAAACCTCTCCCGCCCTGGAACACGAAGGAGCGGCATTGGTAGCCTAAGCCAAGAAAATTCTCTTCTCTGTGGATAATAGGGGCCGAGCCTGGTCCCCAGGAATAAGACGCTACCATCCCACTCCTCACAGCTCAGAAATCACCCACCTGGAACTGCAGTCTCCGAAGTCTCCACCCCAGTCTCTGCCTCCACAGGCCTGATTGCGATTGGCTTGCACCTCTGTCCCGTTATCTCTTCTCCAAGTGTGAGTGGCGTTCTATACGCTCTTGGCTTTTGTCCCTCCCTTCGCTCGCCTCCGAAGCCCCGCCCCACGTGACGGTCACGCGTTGCCGCAAAGCGCAGAGGAGGGTCCCCACTTCCGCTCCCGGGGGAGGAGGTGGCAGAGTAGGTGGCGTGGAAGTGAGGGCTCTCGGTGAGCAACGTGCAGTTGACGTAGCGCAACGCTCCGCCCCCTCCGCACGAGCGCCGGGAGGAAGTGGGTGGGGCACTTTTAGCGTCCGCGCCATCAAGCCCGAGGTGGCGGTGAGGTTTTCAGTGTATGGTTTTCCCCGCTAAGCGATTCTGCTTGGTGCCAGCAATGGAGGGCGTGCGCTGGGCCTTTTCCTGTGGCGCTTGGCTGCCGAGCCGAGCCGAATGGCTGCTCGCGGTGCGATCGATCCAGCCCGAGGAGAAGGAGCGCATTGGCCAGTTCGTCTTTGCACGCGACGCTAAGGCAGCTTTGGTATTACAGGTCTTTCGTATTGAGGGCCGAGGAAGCAGATGTTGGGGATGGTGGGCCGGGCTGTAGAGACTCCCTCCCACGCTAGCGTCGGCGCCAGTTTGTGGCCGCCCCAGGGCGAGAGTGGTAGGTGCTACTGACTCTCCCGTGTGTGCGCGCGGCCTGGTCTCCACCGTCTTTGTAGTCTCCTCGGAGGCCTCGTCCGCTGTAAAAATTAGCCCCTCCCCCGTTGTAATTGAAAATAGAGATCGTGCTAAACCCTAAAATAGGTGTTGAGAAGGCCTACAAAGTAGTTCCTTTTCCCCCACAATGTTTTTTTTTCTTATTTTTAAGTTATCAAAATTTATTTTTCCTTGCTTGGGCCCATAGCACATTCTTAGCCTGTTAAGTATCCTACCATTCTCCATTCTCCTGCACGTGATAGGCCCTAAGAAATATTGATAGTATGACTTACTTTAGCCTTGCACGCCGTGGAACTGGAAGAGTCCAGCCTCCTTTTACCAGGGAAACTTAAGTCAATGAAGGATGCAGTCCTAGGCATACCTTTCTTTCTAAATAGCTTGGGAAACAGTACTTTAGATATAATTGTTTATTTTACTTACGTATTTTTAGCAACAAATGGAAACGGGTTTCAAAACTTCTGTGTATATAGCGCAGTTTGAAACATCTTCTAATTACCATCAAAGACTGTTACCTTGAAAATGTTCCTCTGTCAAAGCACTTTTTCTTTTGAAATGTGGGCTGATTGATTTTTATATTGGTGAATATTTTTATACTTTCTGTAATTTGTAAGAAATTGTGAAATTCAGAGTCGTGCAGTATTTAAAAGTCATTGTTTAGAACTGAAGGAAAAAACTTGGAAGATTTTTCAAAATATTATATGCCTTGTTATACCCTTGGGTATTTTTGTGTGATTTTAGTCATTTCTTTTTTAAAATATACATATATTATTTCAATTTATTTATTTAATTTATTTATTTTTGGCCGCGTTGGGTCTTCCTTGCTGCACACAGGCTTTCTCTAGTTGGGGCGGGGGGGGGGGCTACTCTTTGTTGTGGTGCGCAGGCTTTTCATTGCTGTGGCTTCTCTTGTTGAGGAGCACGGGCTCTAGGTACACGGGCTTCAGTAGTTGTGGCAAGAGCGCCGGCTCAGTATTTGTGGCACACAGGCTCAGTTGCTTTGCGGCATGTGGGATCTTCCCGGACCAGGGCTCGAACCCGTGTCCCCTGTGTTGGCAGGTGGATTGTCAACCACTGTGCCACCAAGGAAGCCCCATTTCTTTCTTAATAATTAATGGAGGGAGAGAGTGGATGGGGTATATGTGAAAAAAGATAAGTCATGCATTGCTAATTGTTGAGCCCAGTGATAAGTATGTATGATCTAGAAATACACGCACATATGCACAAAGATGTAAGTACAACAAGGTTGCTCAATGGGGAATTTTTTTATAATAGTAAAACTAGAGCCAGCCTAAAATATCCAACAATAGGGGAATAGTCAAGTTATGGTACCTTGATAGTATGAAATGCACAGGCTTGATGGTTATATGCAAACATAAAATAATCCCCAACACTTAGAAATTTAAAAGATTATACATGGTAGAATAGTACATATAGTAGGATTTCATATAAATGGATAGATAGTAAAAGCAAATGAAGATATTTTGGGTACTTAGAGAAAAGACTGAAGGGATGAATACTTGATAACATTGGTTGGTTACTTGTTAAGGGGAGGGAGGGAATTGCTAAAGAGGGACTTTAAGTTGTCTGTCTTCATAAGCATTTCTTAAATCTTAAAGCAGCGTATTTAATACTTACATACTTTTTAAAAACTTTAAGTAATGAATATTTTAGAAACCACAAAAATAGACTTTGTATGTTATAGGCATTGTTACCTAAATCTTTAGTACAGACATCAATACTTACCAAATGTTTTATTAACAGGCTGGTCGTCTGATGATGAGGAAATTAGTTGCAGAGAAATTGAACATACCTTGGAATAATATTCGTTTGCAAAGAACTGCAAAAGGAAAACCAGTCCTTGCGAAAGACTCATTGAATCCTTACCCCAATTTCAACTTTAACATCTCTCATCAAGGAGACTATGCTGTACTTGCTGCGGAGTCTGAGCTACAAGTTGGAATTGATATAATGAAGACTAGTTTTCCAGGTAATGTTGCATTTTTGTAGTACAAGAGTTATTGAGTGTCTTGTCTTAGTTCTTACCTCTTGAATAATATCAGACAAGGACATGTAGATATTTAAGTTTAGGAAAAATGTGCTCGTACTCAAGGGTAGTATATCTGAGAGAGCAGGGTATTGTCAATTGAAAAAAATGCACAACCCAAAACTTGAGAATTATTCTGCAGACTTTCTGAGGACTCAAGTCCAGGAAGCAGCCTCTCAAATAGCTCTGAGAGACTGCTCCAAAGAGATAAGGGAGGAACCAGGATATATAGGAGTTTTTTGCAACAAAAACCTGGTAGTCAGAACATAAAAAGATTACTGTTAATTAAAGAATACCAGACATTTCATTAATGAATTTAGTGCTTTACTATGTATGGGAAGATGCAAGAGTTTGGGCTTACTGAAATTATTCCTTTGATATGCACCTTAACTGTCTAGGGCCAGTATCCCACTTTTCTCCATCCTGAATCCCCTCAGGGTGCACAGTTGGGGGTGGCTGTTGGCTTGAGGGCCCCAACATCCTTTGTTTACTATATATTTTCTTGAATGTTAACAGACTTCTACATAAAAGATAGATTCTCCGTTACTGGGGATTCATATAATACTTTGCCCAGAGGCAAAGTGAAAACAAAGGTTTTCTTTTTGAATTATACCTCAGCTTGTTAAGTAAGACTAAATTTGAAACTATTCTCAAAGACTGTTAAATTTTCTAAAGAACAGTTTTTCCATAGCTCAGTTTTTTTTATTTAAGTTCAATCAAATTGAACTCAACAGGGAGTCAATTTTGAGTATCATTCTATTAAAAAAATAGTAATTATATGTATTGTAAGAACTTGGTTTCATTTAAGTCTTTCCCAGAATTAACCAATTAGTTGTTGGTTTGTTTAAAAAATAATAATCTCAGTGGTAAAGTATATTGTAGTCCTTAAGTAGAGATAACATGTATTTGTATTGTATCTAAATATAGCTCTTTGTAGCACATTTATATAAATGGAAATGAAGAGCAAGCAATTATTAAAATATTTTAAGTTGTTTATATTTTGCCTTAGAAATTTGTAATTGGTGGCTGTAGGAACTGCTAACATTTATTGTGGTGTTGACTATACCTAGGTAGTTTTACTAGAACACAAGTTCTCTCAACTACTCTATAATTTTCATCATCACTAACATTAGTGTGCACTTACTGTGTGCCATGGCATTTTCCTAAGTGCCTTACGTATATTATGGGGTGGGTGGGACACAGCATACTATCATTTTTATCAGAAGGTAAGTAACAGGATAAGAAGAAAGCTGTTAAAATAAGAGAACCAGCATTTTCCTAATTTCATAGTGCAGTTCCCTAATCTCCACACTGTGTCTACCACAGGATCTTTGCTTATGTTTCCCTTGGACTGGAATATTTGTAATAACTTTATCCCCCACCCCCATTTCTGCATAGGTAACTTATTTACTGGTTAGCTTTCACTTTAGTCTTACTTTAGGGAAGCCTTTGTGGACCTTCAATCTAAGCCAGGTTCTTTTGTTCTAGGCTCTCATAAAGTATATTTCCTTCATTCCAATTATATATTTCATTTTATAATTATTTTTCAGGATGTTGATTTTCTTCCCACTGGTCCTTTCAAGCTGTATGAGAGCAGGAACTATGTTAGCTACATCTGATAGTAGCTATATCTGCTATCATGTCTGGCACCCTACCTAGTTCAAAATAATGTGCAATAAATATTTGTCAAATGAATGAATAAGTACTTTGTGCTGCAGTAGTTAGGCCTCAGAGTATTGCCGTGAACCTCCTCTCTCATCTTTATTGTCAGTGTCTTTACTTTGAATTTTCCCACCAACAGCTTTTTCTCTGACCTTCTCATAAATCTATTAAACCTCTATTCTTAACTTTGTTCAGAAGGAGGCTATACTAATGATAGCAGGGGTTCTTGACCCTGGATAAGCATCAAGTCATTTTTTTTTAACCTCCTGAAATTGTTTGCTACATTTTGTATGCACAGGTACATTTTTCTCAGAGAGGATCTGGTTTTTGGCAAGGTCATAGAAGGCTTATTGTGGACCTTATCAACGAACCACTGTTACAGAGGATTCAGAGTGATCATGCAAATGAGCCCATAAACTTCATAGCTTTCTGTGGTCCTTATGTGACCTTTCCCTAAAAATCAGAAATTGTTGGAGAGACCATTGCTCCTTAGAATGCAGTCAGTACAATTACACAGTAATGGTTGGCTCATCAGGTTGATATCTGCTTGGAAATTATGCCTGTGAGACACAGATTTAATTACAGTTGGCTTAATGGGCAATGTTGGCTTATGGTAAATACCAGATAAACAAGTAATTACTAATTGAAACTTAATAAATGATAGGAAGGTAATTGAGCAAAAAGTGAAGATTCTGTTGATTATATTTTATTAGACTTTTTTTATCCACCATCTTTTTTCATTGCTCTTGTTTGACTAATCACAGTATGCAGGCCTTTTCCTATTTGGCTGTTTCATTGCCAAAAAGCTATTGATATATCCAGTAATGCATTGGGGAAGAGCTGTTTTCCAGTTGCCATTAGTATTGTTACTGTGTCACTAGTGTCTGAAAGATTAATGGACACAGCATCATTTCTCAGGAAAGTAGACACTGGTTTACTTCACTGGCAGTTCATTTGAAATGCTCTGCTTATCAGAGTAAGTGAGGAAATTGAGCAGGGAAAGTTTCCAAGAGTTGCTAAATGGTGGAGGGTAAAACAGTATAGGAGCAAGGGAAGTATTGTACTTTGTTTTGGGCATTGTTATTAGATTATCAACTCTCAAGATGGAGTTAGACTTTGGGGGCATCGTGAGTATATTGTAAGACTCAGTTCCATTACTCCCATTTTGTCTGCAGGTAAACATCATGTAGGAACTTGTGGAGTCTTTCCTTATCACATTAGACATTTCTGCTAGGTGCAGATCATTTCCCGCCATCTCCCAGTTCTCCCATTGCTGCTGTGGCAGGGCAGGAGAGAATATATTGATGGATGTAAGAAGTTTTGGGTTTCTCCCTTCTAGCCAGATGCTAGAAGGGCCCTATTGTAACCACCACATTATTCTCTACTTAATGGAGAGAGGAAACTTATACAGAAGTAACTGGTGCATACTTGGCACTCAGTAAATAATCGTTTAATGGATATCCAGAGAAGAGGGATTATAAGATATTGGGGGCCCTAGTATAGGTGAATTGCCAGTGCAATACAATCCCAACCCTGTGGTCAGGGGTGGGGTGAGGTGTTTTGTAGGTCATCTATATAATTTGCTGTACCCAATTGAGAAATATCGGTTGTTTTTCCTTCATTTTCTAATTTTTATCTACCACTAAAGGCTTTTGCAGTTAGAAGTATAACAGTAAGGATTGTATAAAGTATAAAAGTATGAATTGTTCAGTTTCGTTCCCATGTTTACAAGGCAAGATAAGAGATACAGTATAAAAATTATTAAAACGTGGGAAAAGACTGAAAATATTTTTCCCCACGGGTTTATACTTTCAAGTTCACATTTTTGTTATAAACTTTGCTGGATATTAATTGGCAGGACAAAATGACTCAATATTTTGAGATTTAATACTAATTTAATAACTTTGAAATGACTATCATAGAACTGCTCCTCTTGAACAGTTGTTATGTAAATTACGTACAGTAAGTATAAAGTAAGTGGTGATATTATATGGTAGCTATGGTAGAGCCTATTTGTTGTCTCTTTCCACCATACTATTTATAGCACTATTTTAATAGCTTCCTGTTTGGTTTCCCCTCTTCACTTCTGTCCTCTCTCAGTACATTCTTGGTACAGAGTTAGAGTGGTCTTTAAAAATTTCCTTAAAGCAATTTTCTTAAAACTTTTAGGTTGGTTCATAATAAAATTCAGTCCCTTTAACATGATTGTATTGTCTTATTCTCATTTATCTCTCCATTTGCATTTTTAGCTGCTCTCTGCTCACTATTTTCTGTCCATACTCATCTTTTATTACCTTGAATGTAGTAGACTTTTTCCTGTTCAGGTCATTTCAGAAAAGCCGATCGCTCTGCCTGTTCTTCTCCCCACTCTTTCGTGAGTACCTTAGACATGAAGGATGAGAAGTAGCCAGTACCAGTACCTCCTTAGAAAGGACTTTCCTGACCACCTGATCTTGTTTTCCTTCATGGCCTTTCTCATTTGTAATTATAACTTAGTTATTTGATTATTATCTGTTCTCCTTCATTTAAATAAGTTCAGGAGCTATGCTTGTTTTGTTTTTGCCACAGTATACCTAGTACTTAGCAGGGTGTCTAGCACATAGCAGGTGCTCAGAAATATTTATTGAATGTACAAATAATAGGAGTTCTCAATTTCACATAAAATTCCTAAAATTTGTTGAAAAATTAAAAAGTAGGTATGCAACTACAGTGAAAAATGCTATTCATATCAGATTCTAGTTGGGATATAAACTGTTCTCATCAGTGAGTTGTGATTAAAAATAGTTCTTCCTTCGAGTCTTCTTCCTCATCCTGCATTTATCTTCCTAGCTTCTTCTCTCTTGCATTTGCATCCATCAGATTCGGTTTCCTACTTCGTTGCTGCTACAGTCTATAGTGTCCAACTTAAAATTTTTCAACTTTATGATGGTTTAAAAGCAATTCAGTAGAAGCCATAATTTGAATTTTGAATTTTGACATTTTCCTGTGCTAGCCATATGCCATTCCATACTCATAATGCTGGGCAGCAGCAGTGAGCCATAGCTCCCAGTCAGCCACACAATCACGAGGGTAAAACAACTAGTACAGCCATTCTGTTTTTCACTTTCAGTACAGTATTCAGTACATTTCATGAGGTATTCAACACTTTATTATAAAGTAGTCTTTGTGTTAGATGATTTTGCCCACCTGTAGGCTAATGTAAGTGCTCTGAGCACATTTAACGTAAGCTAGCCTAAACTGTGATGTTCCATAGGTTAGGGGTATTAAACGCATTTTTGACC